AAGAGGAGAAGTTAGCAAGCATGGATGGGGCTACTCCAAGTTCATAGCACATGCAGCACTGAGGTACAACCCTTCACAAGTCTGCCAGTATCTTAAAGATGATAGTCTGTACTTCAGAGTCAGTGTAAAGGCTACATCAAAGACAAAGCCATGGCTAGCACTGTGATAAGTTCAATATAATTTTTAATAACAATAACTTACTGTGTGCTTAAAAATATTTTTTACAATTTTAAATATCTGTTTGAATTAGTCACAAAACATAACAAAAGTACAGGTTACTGTTAAAGAAACTGCTTATCAATCAAAAGGCCAAACTTCAATGATAAATATACTACAGATTACAAGAATATGCTTGAATGCAATAATAACTGTGGTTCACAAAGTAAACTATCACGTGATCCAAAAGAGATGGCTACAAATGATACAACATATGGTGGTTATAGCTGTACATTTGTTGATGGTGATCCTCCTGTTGAATATCAATGCTACATCTGTCGATTGGTAGCACGGGATCCTCAACAAGTTAGCTGCTGCTCCAATATATACTGTAAGAGCTGTCTGGATACACTAAAAGAGAAGGGCCAAAGGTTTACCTGCCCAACTTGTCGTAGCTCACTAGAAGGAAAGTACTTTAAAGATGGAAGAGTAGAACGAGGAATAAAGTCACTTAAGGTTTATTGTACTAACACTGATAGTGGGTGCCAATGGATGGGGACTATTAAGGATATTGATACTCATCTTATTATTTGTCCCTATCAAGTGATACATTGTACTAATAAATGTGGAGAGAAGTTTAGGAGAGATGCATGGTGGGCACATATCACAATAAACTGTCCTAAACGACAAGCTCAGTGCACATATTGTCTACAGAAAGGACCTCACCAACTGATAACAAGCAGAAGCCATCTCAATAAGTGTCCTGATCTCCCAATCCAATGCAGTAATGAAGGTTGCAATGAGAAGATACCACGACGTTTACTAGCATCACACAATGAGACCTGCCCTAAAGCTATCGTCCCATGTGAATACAGTAACATTGGTTGTAATGAGAGAATAATAAGAGAAGAACTGGAGATACACAATGATGAAGCGATAACAATACACCTACAACTAACAACAAGACAAATGCGATTGACAAACGAAAAACTACAAGACACAAACGAAGTGCTACAGGAGAAAAGTGAAAAACTAAAGGAGACAAATGAAGAGCTAAAGGAGACAAATGAAATACTAAAGGAGACAATTGAAGAACTACAGAAGACAAATAAAAAACTACAAAAGACAAATGAAAAACTACAGGAGACAAATGTAGAGCTACAGGAGACAAATGAAGATCTGCAATTGGCAAAAGAGACAATACAATCTCTACAAACAGAACTACAAGAACAGAATAATCTATTAACAGTATCAAATGAGGTGCTTAAAGTCAGTCAATGTTCACAGAAAAAAAAATGGCACAGCCCAGGCTTTTACACATCCCCAGGAGGATATAAGATGTCATTAAGTGTCTATCCTTATGGTACTCATACTGGTGAAGGTACACATGTCTCTTGCTTCATATATCTCATGGCAGGAGAATATGATGATATATTGGAGTGGCCATTTCAAGGAGAAGTTACTATAGAACTACTGAATCAACTGGAGGATAAGAATCATTGGAAGCGTACCTTTTCATATGATGAATCAGTACCAACTGAAAGCAAGAAAAGAGTATTCAAAGGAGAAAATCCACAGGGATGGGGTAGAGGTCATTTTATACCATTCTCTAAAATAGTTTATGATGCTACAAAGAAATGTCAGTATCTTAAAGATGACAGTCTGTACTTCAGAGTCAGTGTAAAGGCTACATCAAAGACAAAGCCATGGCTAGTATCAACATAAACTAACAAAATACTTCTAATAGTTTAGTAAATTAATATTAAAATAATATTAGGTAGAGGTTATGTGTGTATGTAATTACAAGATTATCTACTCTTGGTAATTATAGAGACAAAATCATAAAATCATTAATACAGTACTGTATTTAATTAAGAATAATGGTTAATTAACAACATAAAGCTGCCACATGGTTTAACAACAATGGCTACTAGTAATAATGGAACATATGGTGGTTACAGCTGCAATTTTGTGACTGGTAAGCCTAGGGATGAGTATCAATGTCATATCTGTACACTGGTAGCACGGGATCCTCAACAAGTTACCTGCTGCTCCAATATATACTGTAAGAGCTGTCTGGATACACTAAAAGAGAAGGGCCAAAGGTTTACCTGCCCAACTTGTCGTAGCTCACTAGAAGGAAAGTACTTTAAAGATGGAAGAGTAGAAAGGGGAATAAAGTTACTTAAGGTTTATTGTACTAACACTGATAGTGGGTGCCAATGGATGGGGACTATTAAGGATATTGATACTCATCTTATTATTTGTCCCTATCAAGTGATACATTGTACTAATAAATGTGGAGAGAAGTTTAGGAGAGATGCATGGTGGGCACATATCACAATAAACTGTCCTAAAAGACAAGCTCAGTGCACATATTGCCTACAGAAAGGACCTCACCAACTGATAACAAGCAGAAGCCATCTCAATAAGTGTCCTGATCTCCCAATCCAATGCAGTAATGAAGGTTGCGATGAGAAGATACCACGACGTTCACTAGCATCACACAATGAGACCTGCCCTAAAGCTATCGTACCATGTGACTACAGTAACATTGGTTGTAACGAGAGAATAATAAGAGAAGAACTGGAGATACACAATGATGAAGCGATAACAATACACCTACAACTAACAACAAGACAAATGCAATTGACAAACGAAAAACTACAAGACACAAACGAAGTGCTACAGGAGAAAAGTGAAAAACTAAAGGAGACAAATGAAGAGCTAAAGGAGACAAATGAAATGCTAAAGGAGACAATTGAAGAACTACAGAAGACAAATAAAAAACTACAAAAGACAAATGAAAAACTACATGAGACAAATGTAGAGCTACAGGAGACAAATGAAGATCTGCAATTGGCAAAAAAGACAATACAATCTCTACAAGCAGCACTACAAGAACAGAAAAATCTATTAACAGTATCAAAAAAGGTGTTTAAAGTCAGCCAATGTACACAGAGGAAAAAAGGGTGGTGGGGTCCAGGCTTCTACACATCACCAGGAGGATACAAGATGTCACTACGTGTTGATCCTTACGGCAATGGTGATGGTAAAGGCACACACATAGCTTGCTATATTTACCTTGAGGCAGGAGAATATGATGATACATTGGAGTGGCCATTTCAAGGAGTAGTTACTATAGAACTACTGAATCAACTGGAGGATAAGAATCATGAGAAATATATCATAGCATTTGATCAATTAGTACCAGACGAAAGCAGGCAAAGAGTATTTAAAGGAGAAAATTCAAAAGGATGGGGTACACATCACTTTATACCATGCTCTAAAATAATGTATGATGCTGCAAAGAAATGCCAGTATCTTAAAGATGATAGTCTGTACTTCAGAGTCAGTGTAAAGGCTAGAGCAAAGACAAAGCCATGGCTAGCATCAACATAAACTAACAAAATACTTCTAATAGTTTAGTAAATTAATATTACAATAATTTTAGGTGGAGGTTACGTGTGTATGTAATTACAAGATTATCTACTCTTGGTAATTATAGAGACAAAATCATAAAATCATTAATACAGTACTGTGGGATGGTCAATTAAGAATAATGGTTAATTAACAACATAAAGTCTAACAACAATGGCTACTAGTAATAATGGAACATATGGTGGTTACAGCTACAATTTTGTGACTTGTGATCCTCCTGATGAGTATCTATGCCATATCTGTACACTGGTAGCACGGGATCCTCAACAAGTTACCTGCTGCTCCAATATATACTGTAAGAGCTGTCTGGATACACTAAAAGAGAAGGGCCAAGGGTTTATCTGCCCAACTTGTCGTAGCTCACTAGAAGGAAAGTACTTTAAAGATGGAAGAGTAGAAAGGGGAATAAAGTCACTTAAAGTTTATTGCACTAACACTGATAGTGGGTGCCAATGGATGGGGACTATTAAGAATATTGATACTCATCTTAATAGCTGTCCCTATCAACTGGTACCTTGTACTAATGAGTGTGGAGAGAAGATTAGGAGAAGTAAACTGGAGATACATCTGACAGACAACTGTACTAAACGAATGGTTAACTGTCAGTATTGCAAGCAAAGAGGCACATACCAACTGATAACAAGCAGCAGCCATTTTGATGTGTGTCCTGACCTCCCAATCCAATGCAGTAATGATGGTTGCAATGAGAAGATATTGAGACATTCACTAGCATCACACAATGAGACCTGCCCTAAAGCTATCGTACCATGTGAATACAATACTGTTGGATGTAATAAAAAAATGAAGAGAGAAGAACAAGAGAAGCACAATGAAGAATCAATGAAACAACATCTTGATATAGCAATGAAGAAGATCGATGCTCTACAGGTCACAGTGCTACTTCCAAGAAAACATGTCTTGAAGTTAAATCAATACACACAGTTGAAAGAAGAAGAAGAGGATTGGTATAGCCCAGGCTTCTACACATCTGCAGGAGGATATAAATTCTCATTATGTGTCCACCCTAATGGTAATGGAGATGGTGAAGGTACACACGTCTCTTGCTATATATGTCTCATGGCAGGAGAATATGATGATACATTGGAGTGGCCATTTCAAGGAGAAGTTACTATAGAACTACTGAATCAACTGGAGGATAAGAATCATAAGAAAGATACTGTAGCATTTGATGAATCAACAGATGATGATTACAAACAAAGAGTAACTGAAGAAGAAGAAGGTGGTATGTATATACTGGGATGGGGTATACATCAATTGATATCACATTTTGAATTAGAGTATGATGCTCCTACTAATTGTCAGTATCTTAAAGATGATAGTCTGTACTTCAGAGTCAGTGTAAAGGTTACATCAATAACAAAGCCATGGCTGACATCTGCTATATAATGCTATTAGTACAATAACTTAATTAATAATACATAATTTATTACATGTAAGTTGCTAAAAGTACTGTAATTGATATTCTGTTTTTGGTTAAAATTGTCATGTTAATGCATTTAATTAATGGTTTGTTATGGCTGAAGCTGGTGTATGTGAAATGTCACAATCTAGGGGGGCAAATATATACAACAATCAACCTGAATCACCATTTTGTATCATTTTTATAAACCAAAACGGGATATTCTAACAATCACAATGACATAATATACACAAACGCTACAAATATACTATAGCTATATAAACACACCCCACACAATTCAATGAGAACCACAAGGGGTGTACCTTAAAGGCCACCATACACGCAGGGCAACATTGTTGCTGGTTACTTTGATC